GATACGGAATTTCAAAAAACGTATACAAAACTTATTTATAATAATGAAAAAACGTATGCAAATTTTTTATAGGGTATATATATCAGCTATAGTTTTTTATATTATTTTTTTAATATTACTTTTAATGATGAATCACTAGTAATATCCAATACCATATTCAAAGTATTCAAATTTAAATCATAAAAGGGATTAAAATGGGATTTTTTGATTTACTAAAAGTTGAATCATGAATTTTAGCAAGTAGGATCTTGACATGTTTTACTAGATCTCAAAGCGTTGTTCACTTAAATTATCTAAATCACTGATTTCAACATAAACATTGTTCTGAATGTTACTAACAGATTCTTTTGACATAACAAAGCTGATCTCTTTTGAAGAAATTGGAGATTTTTTAATAATAATAATCATCATTATTGATATTAATACAAAGTATAATTATGGATAAAAATATCTTCTTTAGTAACAGAACAAGGATATAAATTTCTACTAAAGACAAATGCAAAGAGAGGATTATTTGATTTAGTTAATTTAGATGATATTTTTTTTTCAAAGAATTGGTCGAGAAAAAATTTTGTTAAGAAAAATAATAAGAAATGAAGATAGTGTAATACATAATCAGCTGCCTTGATCTTTAATAGTGAAATTTCATGTTAGAAGTTCAATAATTGGCTTACATATGAATAAATTTATCACTAAGAATTCTATAAATAAAAATGTAATAATCAGGACAATTATATTATTGAATAAATTGAATGTACTCTCCCCTCCTCTTCAGGAAATATATAATTAAATTTTATATTAAATCAGAATTATAATTAAAAAAAATGCTTTAAACTAAAATTACACAAGAATTTTGATGTGAGTATTGTCCAAAAATGTTTAGTAAATGTAACTCCCTTTAAAACCATCTCTGAATACATCATGACCAGATGTATTTGAATGAAACAAGTCTTTTTAGTAAAGAAAATATCTGCATTAGTAGTCCTTTGTAAGAAAAAAACAGATCTTTTATGAGAAATGAGCAAGACTTAATGTTAAAAGATAGTTATTGTCAGGTAAAAGAGCTGAATTTTATAGCAACAAAGTTTAACGTTCAAAAGATAATCAATGAACATATAATAAACTTTTTTTTATATTACAGTATAAAAATAATATATATAGAAATTATGATAATGATTCTAGTGAAAATGAAAACCCATATGAGAATTTGAATAAAATTTCAAGAGGCAATTTAGATGAAGTTTTGAATAAAAACTCTAGTGAAAATTCAAGTGAAAATTTAAGCAAAATTTCACATGTAAACTCAGATGAAAACTCGTCTAGTAGTAGTAAGAGTGATGATAAAAATAAAATTACAATTACTATAAAATTCAAAATATTGTTATTGATGTTAGATCAATGCAGAAATTACAAGAAATGTCTAATTTAACATCATCATTTTCAAATCCTGCATATGAGGCATTATTATAGTTAGTTATAAAGCATAAACTTTCTGATTCTGTAGTGAATAATGTTATTCACTTATTTAATAACTTTTATATGAATCAAACTGCAACTTTACCATTAAACGTAAAAGCAGCATGAGTATTTCTTGATTCTATATAAATTTTCCATATCTTTTACAAAAATCGATTATAAATAGAATACAATCAAATTCAATGTATACTTTATCATTGCATAATTTTTGATGCTATTAAAGAATTATTGAGCAATAAAGAAATTTTTAAATATTGTGTTTTTGATTATAATCCTGAATATATAACAAATAATAAAGGTGAACAGGAACGTTGTTATTCTGAACTATATAACAGCGAGTGGTAGGATTATGCTTAACAATCAGTTAGTGAAAGTGCAAAAATACTTTCTATAATTATTTATTCAGATGCAACTACTTGTGATATGCTTGGGAAAAAAGTAGAACATCCTATGTTTCTAATATTAGATAACATTCCAAGTTAGTATCATAATAAACTAAATGCTAAGGCATTATTAGCATATTTACCTAAAACTAACAACCATCAGAAACAACATATAATGGTCAAACATTAACTTTTTTAATGTTCAATAAACACTCTTATTATAGAACCTATTATGTCAGTTATGTCAAGTGGTCTTGATTTATGAACTGATAATGGTATATTATGGTATTACCTAATTCTGTCTATGTTACTTGATGATTTATCTAAACATTACGCTATAACATTAACATACAACTCATCCAACTGTAATATGCTATGTTATATTTGTATGATATCAAAAAATGAATTAAATAATCCATTAATTGATCATTTAACAATTTGATTACGCACATCTAACATGATGAAAAATGTGTTAACAGATAGATTATCAAAAGATTATTCATTACATAAGATTAAAAATCCATTCTAAAAATTATCGTAAGTATTTCATTAAATGCTAAAAATATAATATACATTTTAATTTACTTTATCCATTTGATAGACAACTAAATGTATATCAGGTAAAGCTACCAGCTGAAACTATAAATCCCTGAAACTCCAGAACTTCGAAATTAATTTTAGTAGTTTTAGAGATGAGATAACATTTTAACCTTAACCTAAAATATGTTTCAGAGTTTCGGGAGTATATTTATTAATAAATTATATAAGTTTCAGGTAAATTAATAATTAGTTTTAACAGTTAAATTTTGATTGGCTATTTTAAAATCATTTGAATTTTTCAGAAAATACGGTATAATTATTTTATAACAAAAATGATGCCATTTGAGGTCATTTGAGATCATTTAAAATCATATTTTCTTTTTTGAATCATTTTTATTTTATTTTTTTTTTTACTTGTCAAAAAAAGAGAAAATCCTTTAAAAAAAAGTAAACCTTTTATTTCAAAAACTTTTATGAATTGCTAATCTATAAATTCTAAAAATCAATTCTATTAAAAGCAACTCGAATAGATTGATAAAATAAGGAGTTAATAATAGAAAATATCACATTTGCATCAAAATTATTGTAAAATGCTTGTAACATTATTCAGCATATAAAAATCATATCCATTCCTAGAAAAAAAGAAAAGGAAACTAGTAAATCACCCTAAAAAATCACTTAAAATCTCTAAAAAGAAAGAAGAGGAAGTTAGCAAAAGAATAAAATCCACCCTAAAGAAATCCCAAGAATCCTAAGGAAGACTTACAAAGATCCGCTCCTAAAAAAGAAGAGAAAGTTAGTAAAAAAAAAATGAAATACACCCCAAAGAAATCCCAAGAACCCTTAAAGAAGACTTACCTCTTATCTGAAAAAGAAAGAAAGATCTGATCCTAAAAAAAGAAGAGGAAGTTAGTAAAAAAAGAACAAAATCCACCCCAAAGAAATTCCAAGAACCTTTCAAAGAAGACTTACCTCCTATCTGAAAAAAGAAAGAAAGATCCGATCCTAAAAAAAAGAAGAGGAAGTTAGTAAAAAAAGAACGAAATCCACCCAAAGAAATCTAAAGAGCCTCCAAAGAAGACTTACCTTCTATCTGAAGAAAGAAAGAAAGATCTGTTTCTAAAAAAAAGAAGAGGAAGTTAGTAAAAAAAAAGAACGAAATCCATCCTAAAGAGCCCAAAGAAACTTACCTTCTATCCGAAGAAGAACGAAAGATTCGTTCCTAAAAAAGAAGAGGAAGTTAGTAAAAAAAAGAACGAAATATACCCCAAAGAAATTCTAAAAGCCTCAAAGAACACTTACCTCCTATTCGAAAAAGAAATAAAGATCCGATCCTAAAAAAAGAAGAGGTAATTAGTAAAAAAAAGAACGAAATCCACCCCCAAAGAAATCCTAAGAACTCCCAAAGAAGACTTATCTCCTATCCAAAGAAAGAAAGAAAGATTTGATCCTAAAAAAAAGAAGAGGAAGTTAGTAAAAAACGAACGAAACCTACCCAAAGAAATCCAAAGAGCCCACAAAGAAGACTTACCTCCTATTTGAAGAAAGAAAGAAAGATCCGATCCTAAAAAAAGAAGAGGAAGTTAATAAAAAAAAAAGAATGAAATCCATCCTCAAAGAAATCCCAAGAGTCCCCCAAAGAAGACCTACCTTCTATCTGAAAAAGAAAGAAAGATTCGATCCTAAAAAAAGAAGAGGAAGTTAGTAAAAAAAGAATGAAATCCACCCCCAAAGAAATTTCAAGAACCCTTAAAGAAGACTTATCTCCTATTTGAAGAAAGAAAGATTGCTCTGCTTCTAAAAAAATAAAAAGTTAGTAAAAAAAAAGAACGAAATCCACCCCAAAGAGCTCAAAGAAACTTATCTCTTATCTGAAGAAGAATGAAAGATCCACTCCTAAAAAAAGAAAAGGAAGTAGTAAAAAAGAACAAAATCCATTCCAAAGAAATCTCAAGAGCCCCCAAGGAAGACTTACCTCCTATCTGAAAAAAGAAAGATTCGCTCCTTAAAAAAAAAGAGGAGGTTAATAAAAAAAAGAATAAATCCACCCCAAAAAATCCTAAGAGCCTACCAAAGAAAACTTACCTTCTAAAAAATCCTTCGAAAAAAAACAAACTAAAGAGAATTATCCTAAATTCATAAAAAAAATAAAATAAAATTAAATAAAATAAAAAAAAAATAATAATAATAATAATAATAAAAAAAAAAAAAAAATTTCTCTGAATTAAATAAAATAAATTCAAATTAAATAAATAAAAAAAAATTCTCTGAGAACTCCAAATGTTACATAAATTAAATAAATTAAATAATAAATAAACTGAGAGCTCCAAATGCTATAAAAAATAAATAAAATAAATTAAATAAATTTGAATTAAATAAATAAATAAAAATCTCTGAGAACTCTAAATGCTATAAAAATAAATAAAGAATTAAAAAAATAAAATAAAAAAAAATTAAATATAAAAAAGAAAATAGGTATACTCTTCTTTTTTGCGCTTATATTTTGGTTGGCCTGTCTTTTTGTCTATTCCATCCGTTTCTAATAATTTATAATCAGACAGCTGAGTGTTCTTATTAGACCAAATGGTAGGAAAAGAAAGTGAAAGTATACGATAAAAAAAGCAAATATTAATCGATAATAGATTTTGATCAAATATATAATGGTAAGTTTGATATTTTTCGTTTGATTTAAGTAGAGTGAATAAAGGATCAAACTGATGAAGCTTATCTCCTTTTATTAGCAGTATCAGCAAGTGCATCACAAAACCTGAATCATAGTTGATGCTTTCTAGGATCAACAGAGTCCATTTCATATTTATCATTACCGAAATCCTATAATGATCAAAGTTGAATTCAAGGCAAGTTCAATTAGTATTTATACTGAAATTAAAGCAATTAACAAATAACAATTAACTTCGCTTACCTTATAACTATACTCATAATTCTATAATCAAATTTTGAACACGTCTAGAAAGGGTTAATAGTATACTTACTTTTTGCCTATTACTATTTATCGCTTTTTAACAATCAAACGCTTGCTTATTCAGTATATTAGACTGCTGCTAAATTGACAGCTAATAAGTCATATATTAAAATTTATGAATAATGCTAAAAGTCATGGTATCCTTCCTTTGCCGTAGCTGATTACTCTAAGGTGTTTCTATAGAAATCATGTATTGGTTTGATAGTCATTTCAACTCCTTAAAGAATCCTAACTTGAAAAAAATAAATTCCAATATAATTAAATGACAAATATATTCGCTTGAGATATTTTCACTCAAAGATCCTATCTCACCTTTTCACCTTAAATTGTAATATTAATATTAAATCATAAAAAAAAAAAAAAATATCCAAAATAACCTTATATATATATATATATATAAAAAAAACTATATATTTTTGCCAAATTTTGCTAATAGATCTTTAGTGGTAAAGTTAAATATACCTTGTCTATTTGGATTTTCTTTCTCATTATTTTCATTATATTCATTCTCATTATCATAAATAAATTCAAAATCATCAAATGGAATTTCTCTTAAACTATCAATAATAATTTGATGTTCTAAATTTAAAGTTTTTTCTAACCATAATGGTTCAATTACAATTCTAACATTATCTTCAGGAATCACTTCTCCAGAAATTATTCTTTCTATTATAGATTCAGTACTATCATTATTCTTTCTATAAAATGTTAATTCTTTTAGTGCATTTGATTTATAATATGTTATCAATTTTATTATTGATTCTAATTTTTCTACACCCAAATTATGTTTTCTTTTTCCTGTTAACCAGCTTAAAGTTGAAAATCTTCTCTCACAACTTGCACTATTAGGACAAATTGATAAAATATATAAGCTACTCTTTATAAATAATTAAGTTCTATTTTAATAGATTCCTACCAAGTGATTGGACTATCTTTATTAGAATATGGAATGTCAAATGGTGTATTTTATTCTTTGTATCGATATATTTGAGAGTATAGCTTACGTGTTGCTTCAAGATCAAATTCAAAAATTTGAGCAACCTCTCGTATAGCTGCTATTATGTGATTATATAAGTCATATTTTATAAGCTCATTTACTAAATTTAAAAGAATATTATAGTTAGTTAAATTCATATTATTATTATAATTATTATTAATAAATAAACTT